CACACTTCTTTGTTTTTTACTCTGGAAGTTAAACTCATCACAAATGCCACATTCTGCACAAGGTCTTTCTCAGGGCAGGAAGAGCGAGAAGAGGAAGTGAAAGGGGTCACCATGAGGAAGGGTAGGCTTGGGGGGGGTAGTCTGGGGACATTGGATGACCCCATGTGACAAACAGGTATATACACAATGCATTAGTTGAACAGAAACACTGTGAATAAGGAGAAACCACCTCATTAGAAGTTACGCCTCCCACTCTCTAATCCAAAGAGAGCTAGAACATCTGGACATCCTTCAGTACACCACATTGATCCATTGTATCCATTGGGTCTCTCAATCTCCGTACTACTCACATATTGGGCCAGATCATTCTTTGTTATGCAGACTGTCCTGTATATTGTAGGACATTTAGCAGCATCTCAGGCGAGTAGCACCCCCCTGCTGTGACAACCAAAAATGTCTCTAGAGGTTGCTTAACCTACCCTGTGGGGCAAGGTCATTCTCAGTTGGGAGTCACCCCATTACATCAATGATACCTCACTGAGCAGGCAGGATGAGAAATTCATAGCCAGCATTTAGTGGCCTTGCTAAGACACATGCACTTGAGAGTCTTAGAGTCTTACCAGGGTCTCAGATCCTTCAGGAACAAGAGTGTGGGTCACACAACAGGTAAACACTGCCATGAACAGAAATGAAAGCTGAAGGCAAGGGGAATGGGAAGGAGCGGTGGAGGAGGAAGACCGTGAGTTGCGTGCTGCCCAAGATAGAATGCAGTGACGAGGGCCGCAGTTCATCCTAGAAATCTTCCACTTTTAGTTGCCTCACAGGAAGAGAGACCCAGTGGAACCCTGCAGGAACTGGTCTCCAAACATATATGGAGAAGAGGCTCTGCAGGGAGCAAGCATGCCAGCCAGCTGTGACAGCTACAAAGGTGCACCACTCTCGAAGGCTCTTCCTTCAAGAAAATTTAGTCAAGTAATCTTTGACAAGGAAGCCAAGAATATATGGGGAAAGGATCGTCTCTTCAATAAATGGTGTTGGGAAACTGGATATTCACATGCAAAAGAATGAAATTGGACTTGTATTATTCAAAAATTAACTCGAAGTGAATTAAAGATTTAAGTGTAAGACCTGAAATGGTAAAACTACCAGAAGAGAGCTCAGGGAAACACTCCTTGATACTGGTCTGGGCAATGATTTTTTTTGCACACACACACACAAAAAATAATAATAATAATTTTTTTGCACAGACAACAAAAGCAAATACAGACAAGTGGGATAACAGCAAAGTAAAAAGCTTTGGCACAGCAAAAGAAACAACAAAATGAGAAAGCAACATACAGAATGGGAGAAAATATTTGCAAATTATATATCTGAGAAGGAGTTAATATCCAAAGTTTATAAGGAACTCAGACAACTCCATAGCAAAAAAAAAAAAAAAAAAAAAGCCATCTGATTAAAACACGGGCAAAGGACCTGAACAAATATTTTTCCGAAGAAGACATACAAATGGCCAGCAGATCCATGAAAAGATGCTCACCATCACTGATCATCAGGGAAATGCAAATCAAACCACAAGGAGGTATCACCTCACCCCTGTGAGAATGGCTATTATCAAAAGGACAAGCGATAACAGGTGTCCACGAGGATGTGGAGAAAAGAGGACCCTATACACTGTTGGTGGGAATGTAAATTGGTGCAGCTGCTGAAGAAAACAGTGTATGAATCCTCAAGAAATTAAAAATAGGGATGCCTGGCTGGCTTAATTGGTAGGGTGTGGGACTCTTAATCTCGAAGTCGTGAGGTTCAAGCCCCATGTTGGGTGTAGAGATTACTTAAAATAAAAAATCTTTAAAAAAAAAGAAATTAAAAAGACAACTACCATATGATCCATCAATCCCACTTCTGGGTGTATATCCAAAGAAAATGAAATCAGGTGTTGAAGGATATCGGCACCCCCTACCCTGTTCATTGCAGCATTATTCACAACAGCCAAGACATGGAAACAACCTCAGTGTCCATCAACAGATGAATGGATAAAGAAGATGTGGTATATATAGACAATGGAATATTCTTCGGCCATAAAAAAAAAAGGAAATCCTGTCCGTTGTCTCAGCATGGATGGATCTTGAGGGCATTATGTGCAGTGAAGTAAGACAGATACTCTATGCTCTCTCTTACACATGGAATCTAAAAAACTCTAACTCATAGAAGCAGAGGGTAGGATGGTGGTTGTTGGGGGTTAGTTGGGGGGGTGGAGGGGTGAGAGATGTTAGTCTAAAGGTGCAAACTCCCAGCTATAAGATGAATAACTTCTGGGGATCTAACGTACAGCATTTAAAAAAGAAAAAGAAAGGAAAACTTCCACTCTGCTCCAAGGAGGGCAGTTAGCTGGCAGTCTCCAGCTGCAACACTTTCAGGACCCACTTCAGCTTCTGGGCCAAAGCCATGCCCTTCCCAGGCAGCCCTTAACCAAGGGCTGAGCACCGAGGAGCCGCCAGCATCCACCCAATGCAGGACATCGTTGCTATGCATCAGTCTTTGCCCTAGAACTCCCCATTCAGACGGTGCCGACTTGTCAAGGGTGCTACTCTCCCTACCCAGGCAGCACCGCCCCCCTTCCCTTTGGCAAGTGTCAGATCTGCATCGCAGTGTGAAAGCTTTCTCAGCCCGATTCTGCTTCCTCTTTAGTCTTTAACAGCCATTACTTCGTCCCCTGCCCCTGGGGAAACCTCTTGCACTCCTAACTCCCAGCCTGTGCCCCTTGGGGGACCTGACATAGCAGTGTTGTCCCGCCCTTCAAGCATGGTCCTAAAGGAAAGTGGAGATGGATATTAGGTCCTACCTGGGAGAAAATGTCGCATGGCTTAGCCCACACATCCCCCACCTCATGCAGCTCCCAATGCCACCTGCTCAACCATGGGTAGCACACTGGGCTTTGTGCCTACCTTCCAACAGAAGGGAAGCTCTGGGAAGAGGCACAAAATGCCTTCTAGACTTTATTCCTCCCATGCTCCTGGTTCTAATTTATTTGTCCTTGCCACATCCCCCCCCCGGAGTGGGGGATTCTTGAGCTGGCAGAGGCCCAGTAAAGAAGTGGCTGTCACCCACTCTGAAGGTCTTCATGCACCAGAGATCCAAAAACCTCACCAGAGTCAGGTGTCTATAAACATCTGCATGGCCTCTCCATGGAGGAGGGCTCTTCCCTGCAAGTCAGAAAAATAGCAATCAGGAGGACGTGAGTTTATAAAATAATTCACCTTTACTATTTCATTCAACCCAATATATTTATACACACATTATCCAGAATTTGTCATATTCAGGGTTATGGAGAGTACAACAGTATTAATGGTGACAGTCCACGCTCTGATAAATGGGTTAAACTTGAAGGCAATGGATAATTTGGGTTTTTTTTAAGATTTTATTTATTTACTTGAGAGAGAGAGAATGAGAGATAGAGAGCACGAGAGGAAGAGAGTCAGAGGGAGAAGCAGACTCCCCGCTGAGCAGGGAGCCTGATGTGGGACTCGATCCCAGGACTCCAGGATCATGACCTGAGCCGAAGGCAGTCGCTCAACCAACTGAGCCACCCAGGCACCCCGGCAAAGGATAATTTGAAAAAACAAAAGCAGATGACATAGATCCTGTCCTCAAAGCATACACAAAATGGTTAATAGTGATAACATCTGACCGCACTTACCTGGGAGAAGACTCCATAATTCTCGCCTCGTGTATCGCCCGCACCGGGCAGCCCTCAATACCATCTGCTCGGCCTCGGCAGAAACCACCATACCTGGACCCGAGAAGTGACCATAAGCGTGGAGGCCACACCAGCCTCGGACTGCCTCCCCTTGGACTCCCTGACTTGAGACACAATAAGCCCTTAGTGTGTTCAAGACATTATTACTTGAGTTCTATGAGCTTTACCCTAATTTCTAACTCTCAGGGATTAAAAAAAGAGAAAAGTGCAAAGGAGTTTTCTTTTTTAAAAATTTTGTGTATCTATTTATTTAAATTCAATTAATTAACATTTAACGTATTATTTGTCTCAGGGGGTACAGGTCAGTGATTCATCAGTCTCATATAATACCCAGTGCTCATTACAACACATACCCTCCCCAGTGTCCATTACCCGGTGCAAAGGAGTTTTCGATAAACTTTTCTAGAGGTGATCTAGACTTCTACTTAGAATTCTGGAACTTTGCAAAATTGGCTAATCACCAATTAGCCAACTGGCAAGCACCAGTTGGCTAATTGGCAATTTCACCACGTGTCTGATTTTTGTTCTACTCTATTTCACTGCGATGGTTAGCAATAAAGTCTTTTAAAACCTCCCAGACTCATGTTCATTTCCTAAGGGACATGAAAGAAGAGTAGACTGGGTCCCACTTTCTATTCAGGCTTGGAATAGCCACCCTGTAAGGAAAGGAACATGCTGGCCCCGAGTCGTATCCCAGTGGTGCCAAGGCAGCCCCGGGGAGGGCGGGGGGGAGCGGGGGGCGGGCAGTAGGCCGGGCAAGCAGCCCGGGGCACGTGGCGACCCACATGAGTCCAGCTTCTCCGTTCTGCCATGCCAGGAGTTGGCGGGACACTGCTCACTGCTCTGCTCTCGTGGATCTGGATCCCCTGATCCTTGGGTAGGTCTCTGTACTTGACCGCAGGCTGGCCTTGGCCTTGGTCGCGGTGTCTGTCCTGATGCCAATCTACATACACAGGCATGGTGATCCATGTGACTTAATTCTGACCCCCAAAACCACCCAAGCTCTGAAGCCTCTTTCCAGATTTTTCCCACCTAATTTCTTCTTTCTCCTTTAGAATCAATCCCCTGCCCCAGCCTGACGATTCATTTACCCACAAAAAGCTGCAGCAGCACAGGCTGAGCTGCATGCACCTGCCAAGCCCTCAGCATCCTGGAGCCCCCTCAAATCCCAGAAATCCTACCACACCCCGTTCCCAAGTGAGGGTGTCTCTACCTTAGAGAGATCCCCAGGCACGTCAGCTGCCTATGATAAAACCTCTTTTAAATTCTTCAGTAAACCTATGGGCTTGGGCTTTTCCCGGGCATTTTTAATGATTTTGCTGACTTTCTCCCATTCGTGGGGGTATCCCTGCCCTCCATGGCTCTTTATCAGCTCATTAGCCATTTTCAGAAGCTCTACTGCCTGGTTTTCCCTGGCTTGGCCCGTTTCTCTGTTATTAAAAGCACAGACTCGCCCCCCACACTTTTTAATGATGTTCTTAAGAGTTCTGTTATCTGTGTTATGGACATAGTCACTAAGGTCCCCTGACTCGAGGTCCTCCTTCCGAGTGAACAGCACGATCGTGTACCGCAAAACTTCCTCTCCGAAGATGCTCTCCAAGTCCTTCACGGCCCTTCTGTCCTCCTGAGTGAACCGTCCCAGCTGGAACACCAGGACCAGAACCTTGTTCCCTTCTTCACAGCAGGACAAACAGCGTCTGACCTCCTCCTCCAGAGGGAACAGACCCCCCTCGGCACTGGTCATCAGGCAGAGCGAGGGCGTGTCCACAACCACCACCTGCAGCCTGCCCCACATCCTCTTGCTGCTCTGGCACGTCTGGGTGACCGGCTGTGCTCGGAACTGAGAGCAGAAGTCAAGGCTCCCGAGAATGGTGTTTCCGGTGGCGCTCTTCCCAGTGCCGCTCCTCCCCACCAGGACAATGCTCAGGGTATCTGTCGAAAGGAAAGCAGGAAAGATTGGTGGCCACGGGCTGATCTGGGCGCAGCTTTCAAAGTGCTGCCAGATGTCACGGCAGAAGATGCTCAGAGAGTACCCTGGCCACCCTCTCACCTGGCAGCTCTATCCCCAAGCACGGTTCCAGGCACTCACTCTGAGAACCAGAAGCATGACTTGGACCACCATCTCTGCCCCGCACTCATCCATGACATGGCACTGTTCCTATCTCTGAATTCACTCCCTCCTTCCAGTAACTTCCCTGACTCCCTGGGACCCTGTGAGTGCTGCTGGCTTTATTACCCATCACCCGCTCAGCTGCATCCAGCCCCCACATCTCATCCCTTGGTCTTCGGTTCCTGCTGCAACGATGCCTTCCTATTGCTAGCTAATGCTAACTGCAGCAAAATCTCCTTGATGGATTTGAAAAATTATTCCACAGAATTGACTCTTCATGAAAAAGCAACTACATATATCATTGACAGATTCCTAGTTCCTTCATTTGGATCACCAAAAATTCATTTCTCATTAAAACCACATTAAACTGAGTTGTGTCTTTCATTGATGAGTCAAAAGGCACCTCGTGGTTATAAGAATGAATGTGCACTCACACTGTTTTGTGTAGTGATGATGGAGAACAGATGTCCCTAAAAATGGAATGACAGATGCTAGCGACCTTGCAATGCGTGTTAGTGGGGGCTCCTTATGACTCTGCACTTGTACTGTGGTCTTTCTCTTCCATGCTGGCCTTTTCACAGTTCTCTCAATTATACATTCTTTGCCAAGTTACCCATATTCACCTTAAAACAAAGAGGGAGGAAAGCCTACCCTGTGCTCTTCCTTCCAGGGGAAATTATTGGATTGCTTATCCTGAACCCCCAAGCTCATGGTTATGCTTAAAGATTCATCTTCCAATAGTCCCATATTTGTCATGGATTTCAGTCCCTGCTTCCACACCCTCAGAGGGGTGGTTCTCAAGAACCTCTGTGATCTGATCTCTAATACCCATCCCACATCGAGTAGAGGCATGAGCCCTCCATTTCCATCACGGCCACTCCGTTGGCGGTAGGCTTAGTCCCACCTCCTTGCTTCCGATTGCTGGAGTATTCTCTGCCACGTCTTCCAGCTTTCTGCCGGCCACCCAAACCCTGCCCGTTCTCCAAAGCCCATTTCAAATTGGGCTTTCCCCACACAGCCTCTCCTGACCTTCCTGCATGTCTATACTTCTTGAGGAGGCCCCCCAGTACCTGGCCTTCTGTGCTGACTATGAAAGGGCTCATAAACAGATACACTCCTTTGAGTCCATGTTCTTCTCAGGGGAGGGCATTTGAAGTGAGGACAAAGGGGTGAGTCATGCTGCCCTGGGAGAATCTCAGCTCAGGGCAACAGAGCGTGTAGCCCTGAGGGCATGGGGACTTCCGCTAAAGCCGCGGGCAGTGTGACCGGCCTAAGAAACCCGGATTCGGGCTCCCAGTCCTCATTCTCCTCTCTTCAAAATGGCCTCCCCTCTCCAAAGAGAGAATAGTAAAGAACCAAGAAGTCAAGAGAGGGAGAGAGAGAGAGAGGGAGGGTCAGAGCAGGCTTAAGAGAAAGAGATCAAACCAACGGTCCGGAACTATCTATCTCATCACCAGCACTGAGTCTTGAGCCCTGGGCAACAGACACACCGTGGGGAAAAGAAGAGATTGAAAAAAGCTCATTTCCTTCCCTCATGACCTTCACCATCCAGTTGGAGAGAGGGGAGAAGGGTCAGGAGAGAATTAAAGACAGTTATGTGCATGGAAAGGCACATAACTTCAGTAACCTTGGAGAAAGAGAAAAGTTAGTCAGTAGACTGGACCTGTCCTTTCTATCTCCTCTCCACCCCTCTCGTATATGTCATATCTAGTTTCTGAAAGCATCTCGAAAATGTTTTTAGACACCGTGTACCTTCCCCTCTGAAGCTGCAGGGCCTGCCCCCATTCTGCTGCACCATGCTCTCAACTGTTTCCAGGAGCTTGTCCACCTGGTGCTCTTCTTCTTCCCCAGTCACTCGGTAGTTGAAGATGCAGAACCGGTCTTTGCACGCCTTGATGAGCTTGTAGAGAGCTTTATTTTTGTTTTTCAGGAACATCTCTACATCCTGATCCCCTAGGTCTTCTTTCCTGGTGAGGAGAATGATCAGGTACTGCACGAATTTGTCTCCAAAACTGCCCCGGATGGTGTCCAGTACCGCCTCATCTTTCTTGGCAAAGGAGCCCAGCGGCGTCACCAGCAGGAAGGCGTGGGGGCGCCCAAAGTCATGTCTCTGGAGCTCCGCTCTAATGTCCTTTGAAGACGAGATGTCTGGAGTATCAAGGATCACAACTTCCTTCTCTCTCCAGATTCTGCTTCCAGACACAAACCTCTGGGTGACTGACTCTTCGCTGAATTTGGTCTCAAACTGTCGCTTCCCCAGAAGGTGGTTCCCGGCTGTACTCTTCCCAGCTCCGCGCTTGCCCACAAGCAAGACCTTCAGGTTGGGCAGCCCAGGTTCCGGCTTGCATCCTGGGGCCTGAAGCTGCTTCTCCTCTTGCCCTGGGGGGAACAAAAGAGCAGAGTCAGAGTCTCTTCTTGCAGCTGAATGCAGAGATGTGGACAGGTTCTATGCTTTCTCATTCTTGTCAGTTTTTACAGAGAATCCCCATAGTGTTCTGAGCAGCAGGACTCCAGACCCAGTCAGAAGCTACCTCCCCGAGTAAAAGCCACAAAAGTGGCCATGAATAAGTGAAGAGAGATGTAAAATGCTCCAGATTTCCCAGGAACGTGAAAATGTTAAACTGGGCCTTTAGTGTTCTTGGTCCTTAGAGTTCCTTTCATTTTGCTACCCAAGGTAAGTGCCTGGGCTGTGAAGTCCATGGGCTAAAGCAGGACAAGGGAGAATCTCAGTTTAAAATGCCCCTTCGAGGGCGCCTGGGTGGCTCAGTTGGTTAAGCGACTGCCTTCGGCTCAGGTCATGATCCTGGAGTCCCGGGATCGAGTCCCGCGTCGGGCTCCCTGCTCAGCAGGGAGTCTGCTTCTCCCTCTGACCCTCTTCCCTCTCGTGCTCTCTCTCTCTCTCAAATAAATAAATAAAATCTTAAAAAAAAATAAAAAAATAAAATAAAATGCCCCTTCGAAAAAAATAAATGAATAAAATAAAATAAAATGCCCCTTGGTAGTATATTTATAAAACGTTATAAAAATGTTATACTGGGCGCTGGGTGGCTCAGATGGTTAAGCGTCTGCCTTCGGCTCAGGTCATGATCCCGGGGTCCTGGGATCGAGTCCCGCATTGGGCTCCCTGCTCCTTGGGAGCCTGCTTCTCCCTCTGCTTCTCTCTCTCTCTCTCTCTCTCTCTCTCCCTCTCTCTCCTCCTCTGTCTCTCATGAATAAATAAATAAAATCTTAAAAAAAATGTTATACTACTCAGCAATCAAAAAGAAAAAAAAGAATGAATGGATAAATGAACTATTGATATGCAACACGCAGGGATCTTCAAAACATGCTAAATGAAAGAAGCCAGACACAAAACCACACGCTATCGGGTCCCATCTATGAAGTTCAAGAACAGACAAAATTAGTCTATGTTCCCAGAAGTCTGGATTCAGTTCCCTTTGGGGAGACCCAGCAGAAACTTGTGAGGTGATGGAAATGCTCCAGATCTTTATCTACATGGTGGTCACATATGTGCAGATATGTAAAAAGTCATTGAGCTAATACACTTAAGATTTGTGCTTTTTACTCTATGTTAATTGTACCTCAACAAATGGCTGTAGAAACCTGTGCCACAAAACTCTCTCTGCCCTCATGCCCTGCCCCCACCACTTCTCCTCAATCCGAGGTCAGCACCAGACCTACAGGCTGAGCAAATGGCAGAGTCAGCCACTCCAGGGAATATTCAGAGTCTGAGGCATCCTGGGCACTATGAGCCACAGGTCTGGGAGGTGGTGTCTGAGCCGTCCCTGGGTGTCTGAGCCGCAGGTCTGGGAGATGGAATGAACATCCTTTAAAGAAAGCCACTGAAATGGGGCGCCTGGGTGGCTCAGTTGGTTAAGCGACTGCCTTTGGCTCAGGTCATGATCCTGGAGTCTCGGGATCGAGTTCCGCATCGGGCTCCCTGCTCCGCGGGGAGTCTGCTTCTCCCTCTGACCCACCCCGCTCTCATGCTCTCTCTCATTCTCTCTAATAAATAAAATCTTTAAAAAAAAAAAAAAAAAGCCACTGAAACACCAGTGACGGCGCGTCCTTCTTATGTTGTCTTCGAAAGCTCCAACTTTCCCCCAAACCACCTCATACAAGTCTGCATCCTATCAAAAGTCCCTTCCAATGCCCTCATTCTCAGATACCCCATGGCTCTCCAGGGCACGCTATTTCTTCAGGGCCACGAGGATTATTTGGGGACATAACAGGAAAGTTCCTGGAGGTCTTGACTGAAGGACATCAACAGAATTTTAAATCCCTACTTCTGCCTGAGTTCACATATTTCGGGCTAAGTTTATTCATCTGTAAATGAGAATAATGACAATACCACCCTCTTCATAGGGCTGTTAAGAGGAATATATGTGTATGGTTATTATGAGAATTATGTTATATGCGGGAAAGATTGAATTATTTATATATTTTTACAGTACATAATGGTAATTGTGATTATTATCACTAAAATTGAACTAATAATAACTATTATTATTATTATTTGGGGGAGTTCTATGAGGACAGAGAACTCATCTATCTTATTCACTGCTTAATATTCAGTTCTTGCACAGAGCTGGTCCAGAAATAACCTGAAAGTCCATCAGTAAAGGGATGGTTGAATTAGTCATGTACGCCCTTACTGTGGACAAAATTGCACCTACTAAACAGAATGAGGTGGATCTATATGAACTGACTTGTGCAGTGTGCAGGATGTATCATTAAGGGCAATCATTACACAGATCCTGACCTCCACCACTGAATACTACAAATGAGTATAGTTATCCATGAAGGTGATTACTGCTTTCCCAGGGGGAGTCAACATTGTATAGTCCTGGATCCAGGGCCAGAAAGACAAGGCTGAGTCGGGAAAGAAGCCATAAAGAGCAAGCCCACCTCCATAACATTTCAGGGAAGGCTCGGGACACCCACACCATGTCCAAAACCTACTCCCAAGTGTTAGGAGTTTCCTGGAGGATAGGCTGTGGACACCAACCTGAGCTAGGCCTCCAGAGTACACCTTTGTTCCTACTTACCTAATTTCTCCACTTCATTTTGACGCATGATGCATTCAAAAGGATACAGATGTAAGCTTAGCATTTTTAAGGATCATCTTACCATGTGGCTTGTCCTCCTTCTGAGACGTGGCTTCATTCACACAATCCTAGAAAATGAAGGTGAAAATGATGCACAGGGACCTAAAATTTCATCTTTTTACAAAGTAAAGAAATGGAGATACAAGTATATAATTCAGAGTAATTTGATGAGGAGGCTGTGGTCAAATCAAGGCCATGGTCATGTTCCTTGTTGGCTCCTGTAGACTCATCCACAATGACAGTAGATCTTGAGACCCCACTGCTGTCACCGCAACAGGCTTCCCAGAAGTATGAAGATGGGTCTTGTTCTTGCTCAGAGGAGCCCCACAAATGCCATCTAACCAAGGCATTGAGCCTGAAGCTCCAACTTTCCTTCTCCCCAGTCCCCAGTAGTAATGGCAATTCCTTTCAAAGTCTTCCAGAGTTTCTGCTGTTCCTGGAGAAAATCCAGAGGCTTAAGAAGAGCTACTGGACTTCCTGGAAGAAGAAACTAGAGCCCACTGATGTCTGGATGTTCATCTGAGGGACCAGGGGAAGGGAGGAGATTGGGTGTGAAGTTCCCACACATCTCTGGTGTCTTCTGCCTGCACTGCACCCCCAGGATAGAGATAAAGCTTCTTCTGACATAAGAACCAGGGAAATTTGGAACTTTCCCCATCCAGGTGGGCAAGTGGAGCCAAACACACAATTGGTATTCCTTTCCCCTGCCTGGCAAAGCAGACTCGCTCCCAAAATTTAAATTGTCATGGAATCAAAAGAGAAGGTAAAAACGATACACAATCCTGATGAATCTGCTATTCCTAGAAGCTTCCAATACTTTATTTTAACCATGCCATCCAAGGAAATTTTCCCTCTGCTTTCTTACCTGGCCGTACCCCAAGCTGTGGATCCCTTCCACCATCCCTCTCCCTGGATGCTCTCCTCACAGTTCTGACCATCAGACTTCTTTCATCTTACCTGGCACAACTCAAATTCTTTCATGTGTTTTAAATGCCAAAGGTTGTTACAATGCAAATGTGTACGATCTAAAAATTAATAGTTTTAAAATTTCTAACTCACTGTAAAAGGAGCAGCTGCTAATTAACATACATCCTTCTGTGTTTTTCTAAGTTTATACGCATACACTCAAGCATATACGAACACACAGGGAGACTTGCTAGGCATCTTGTTCTGCAATCTGCTTCATAATATGTCCTGTACAGCTGTACAAGTCGGTATGCGTAGATCAACACCGTTTTTTTAGGAGATGCTATTTGCTCCACAGCATGGACATGGAACATCCTGTACTAATGTAATGACTATCAGGTTATTTCTGGCTTTACTATTTCAAAAGATGCCATGATAAATATCCTTATACATCCATCTTTATATATGTGAATGTTTTTATTTCCGGGTTATAGCCCTAAAAGTAGGTCAGTCTCTGGGTTGTTAAAGTCCTTAATGTCTCCATAACTTATGTGAACCTTATACACAACCATAACAATACTAATAACAATAATGATGGCAGCTGATAATCACCAAATGCTTACATCTCAAGTATTAGCAAATAATTTTGTAAGTATTTATTTCATTGACTCTTCACAGAAATCTCTGAGATACGTATTATTATCTCTGTTTTACGGATCACAAAAATAAGATCCTGGGTCAAGGAAATGGATATGAGTTCCGTCCTTCAGGGAGTCTGTGGGGAGGCAACCACCGCAAGTATATTCACAGCAATCACTTGACTCGTGGTGGCCACGCGAGGAGCGCCAAAATGGAAGGAGGGGCCGGCGGGGAAGACCCTCTGAGGAAGTGAGCTCACGCTGAGGCAGATGGATGCACAAAAGCAGACATGGTACGGGGTCGGATGGGAGAGGGGAAGTGTCCAGGGGAACCAAATCACAGGTTGGAAGCTCCAGAGTGGACATGAAAGCAAGTCAAGGACCACAGGGAGGGCTAGTGAGACCAACACATGAAGAGCAAGTTAGAGGGTGAGGGACCAGCTCAGATCAGGGATTCTGAACTTGATCCGAAGATCAGTGGAGAATCACTGCAGCATTTTAAACAAGAGGGTGTCGTGTTCAGGGTACATTGCAGAGAGCTCATCTTGTGTCCGGATCCTCTGGGCAGACATCCCTGTTCCAGACAGCCTTCAAGAGAGAGACAGCTGGTTATAAAGGAGAGAGAGGGAGGGCAGACCCAGGAGATAAGAGAGTGACAAGTTCTCTCGCGCCTCAAGGTCCTCACCTGTGGAAGATGAGTACACAGAGTGCTTGTGAAGACTTCATCCGTTCATGTGTCTGGGACTCAGTAGGTACTCAATAATTATTGCCTTCCTTCTCATTTCCATCCTGTTTGGGCTTAATGCTCATCAGTTCTCAGAGTTTCACTCTGACCAACACCACCCCCTACGCTGGATGTTTGCTTGCTTTACCTCTGCTGGCACTTGCGTTAAGAATCCTCTGTTCCAACATTCACTTACTTACGCTGCATCTGGAACTGTTTGTGTCTTATGCATGAGTCATTCAAACCGAAGTGTAAGCTCCTCAAAGGCAAATGCCTGAATTTCTGTATCTTCCTTAGCTACAAATACACTTTCTATTCAGGTTTAGAACTTAAATAAAATATCACTCTGGCTGTTGTGTATGAAACGGATTGAGGGGTAAGGCACAAGAATGAACGGGGGGGAAGGTTGTTCATAAGACAAGACAGGCAAGAACCAAGGCTGGCTTGGACCCGATTGGGGGGGCAGCAGAGATGGAGAGAAGTGGGAGGGTTCCAGGCACCCTGACCACACCAGACTTTATGGCTTCTCAGATAACAGCTGCCAACCAGTAGGTGGCAGAAAAGCTGAACTCTGGGTTTAGGTTCGAAGAGCATGGTGAGCAGCACGACCATTTACCCAGTTGAGAGGAAAACGGAAGTCTTAAAGATTTCAGAGGGAAAACCAAAAGTCTGACATATGAAGTCTGAGATCCTATACGAGAGCCGAGTGGAGATGTCAAATAGCAGTCAGATAAGGGAGTAGGATTCAGAGGAGAGGCCTGGACTGGAGGAATGAATCTGGAAACCGTTAGCGATCGACAGAGCTCAAAGCTGGAAGGCAGAGTTGAGGAAAGCCTAGAAGATGCCAGTGTTCAGAGGCCATGCAAGGAGAGCTCGGGAATCTCTGGAGTAGCCAGAAAGGGCAGGAGGAAGAAAACAAAAACAGTGTAGTTGTATTGAAGCCAAGGGAAGAGAGGGTCCATTTGTGTGTCCAATACTGTGAGGGATATAGTCAGGTAAGGACTTAAATGTATCCATTAATTTGGTAATAAACTCCAAAGTTCAAAGGCTAATACTCAAACCACCCTACCATCTGGTGCCTCATCTTTGCAGATCGTGGTTAAATATCTCCTTAAACAAAGCCTGTGGTCTATCACACAACACCACACCTCCCTTATCTGTGCCCATCATCCACCATGAGCTCTAGCAAGAAAGATCCTTGCAGACCTTAAGAATGTCTTACCAGGAATCCGCTGCTTTCATTTCTGAAGTTCACGATATATGGTCCTCCATTTTCATCCACCAAATTCTGGACTTGGCCGAGGAGCCCCTTCACCTGATGGGCCCGCTCCTCCTCGCTTGCCTTGTTGTTCAGAGCACAGTATCGGCCTCCATAGTTTTCAACCAGCTTGGTGAGGTACTCCTCCCCTTTGATGTAATCTTGCAGAGAGACATCCTCCAAGTCATCCTCCCGAGTGAAGACAATAATGATATACCTCTTGGCTTCAGCTCCAAACAACTCATGGATGCCCCTGACTGCCTCTTTGTCCTCCACCTTATAATGGCCAATGGGAATGACCAGCAGCAGGGCGTGGAGGCTGGGCGCAGAGAGCTCCAAGCAGTGTTCGATGTTGCATTGCTTGTCTTTGGCACAAGACAGGGAGGAAAAAAGGTCGGGGGTGTCAATGACCACAACCTTCCACTCTCCCGTGGCCCCGCTCATTCTCTGGCACATTGTTGTCACCATCTGGCCACTACATCTGGACGCAAACACAGTTTTGCCCAGAATCGTGTTTCCTGTGGCACTTTTTCCCGCACCACTGCTCCCTAAGAGGAGAAGTCTCAGTTCCTGCATGGGGCAGCCGGGCTCCCTCTGCTGACACGGGCTCCCGTTGGTTCTGCTGGACAAAGAGCAACTCATTAGTGTGCCACTCATGAACAGTCCATAGAGGAACAGCAAGAAAATGCATTCTCTTTTTAGTTTCTCCCCAAGGATTGGGACTACTGACATCAACTCAGACTAGATTAGGATAAGAAATCCTGTTTTCCAGGATCCTCTCCGTGCTCTTGTCTCTGAAATAAATCCGTATTGGTAAGATGTCACACACTGTTGGTTGACTAAGCCAACAACCCCCTTCTGTCTATATTCATCCCCCACTATACACACTGGAGGAAATGCAGACACTATCATAGACAGAATAATGCCCCTCCCCAAGATTCTCCCTGGAATCTGTGACTACGTTATTTTACATGGGAGAAGGGACTTTGCCAATGTGATTAAGGATGTTGAGATGAAGAGATAATCTTCGATCATCCAGGTGGACCCAATACAATCGCACTGTAAGAGGTCCTGCCAAGAGGAAGGCAGGAAAGTCAGAGTAAGAAAAAGGAGATGTGAGGACAGTAGCAGAGGTCAGAGAGTGAGAGAGATTTGAAAATGCTACACTGTTGTCTTTGAACGTGGAATAAGGGGCCACCAGTCAAGGGGACTGCAGGCAGCTTCTAGAAGCTGGAAAAGGCAAGGAAATGGATTCTGCCACACAACCTCCAGAAGGATCCCGCCCAGCGGGATCAAGTCCTTGATTTTAGGACTTCTGACCTCCAGAACTGTAAAATAATAACTTGGTGGGCTTTTAGCAACTAATTGTGTGGCAATTTGGTACAGCAGCAACAGAAACTAATACACTCTTTCTCCCAGCTTCCTTTCAACTGGGAGTGGCCATGTGACCCAGTTCTACCTGATGACAGTTGAGGGAATATTTCCTTGGGCTTTCTTCTTATTTGGAATTTAAATGTGATATCTGGGGGCGCCTGGGTGGCTCAGTCGGTTAAGTGTCTGCCTTCAGCTCAGATCACAATCCCAGGGTCCTGAGATCAAGCCCCACTTCAGGCTCCCTGCTCAGTGGAGAGCCTGCTTCTCCCTCTCCCTCTGCCCCTCCCCGCCACTTGTGCTTCCTCTCTTGCTCTCTATCTCAAATAAATAAATAAAATCTTTTAAAAAAATAAATGTGATATCTGGAATCACAGCAGATATCAGAAGGCAATGAGGTAACCAACAAGAGAACAAAATGTCAGTGTGTGCCATCACACTGAAGGACTGCAGAGCAGAGAGATAAAAGAATCCCTGATGACATCACTGAGCTGCCAAAACACCCTTGAGATCACCTTTTTTTTTTTAAGATTTATTTATTTATTTGACAGAGAGAGAGAGCCAGAGAGCACAAGTGGGGAGAATGGTAGAGGTAGAGTTAGAAGCAAGTTCCCTGCGAAGCAAGGAGCCCAATGTGAGGCTCAATCCCAGGACTCTGAGATCATGACCCGAGCCGAAGGCAGACGCCTAACCGACTGGGCCACCCAGGTGCCCCGAGATCACCGTTTTGTTAAGTAAACATCTGATATTCAAAAATCTAGCTGTTGCTACTCAAAGTGTGGTTCACAGGCCAGTAATTGAGACCATGTCAGAAATGCAGAATCTCAGTCTCCACCCAAACTTCCTGAATAAGAATCTGTAACTGAACAAGTTCCAGGTGCTTCTCACGAACACTCAAGTTTGAGAAGCTCTGGTGTAAGCCACCATTAGTTCAAGATCAGCATTCCCAACTGAATCAGGATCCACTTGAAGAGCCGAGTTTCCCAGCACCATTTCTTGAAGAGTCCATCCTTTTCCAAATGATTCTGTCAGATACCATGTGCCCTAATTTCCTCAAGTCTATGCCTAGGTTGTCTGTTCTGTCCATTAGATGCTTGCTCAGTCTATTCCTGAACCAGAAAATCTTATTTACTAAAACCAAAATGACTTAATATTAGTCTACTTAAAATATAACTTTAAGTCTTCATTACATGATCAATCAGGTAGGTCCCAACACCTTGCTATTGTTCAAAATTGTCACACTCTTCTTGGTTTTTTAATCTCCTGTAGGACTTTGCAAATCAGTTGTCTTTGTCTTTAGGAAATCCCTGTTGAAAGCTAGAATGCCATTGCATTGAATGTGTAGCTTAGTTTTAGAACTGACATTTTCATAGCGTTGTTGTCCTCCCCACTCTTTTTGTTGGTCAGTTTTAAACATGTTCTAATTTCAACCATTATTTCTTCTTGATCCATAAATTAGGAGAAGAGATTATCAAATTTAAAAATGTATTGGGAGACTTGCTATCTTTTTATTTATTTCTAATATTATTACTCTCTGGTCAGAGAACAACATCTGTATAAAATATTTGTCACTGGTCGAGATTTACTTTTTAGCCCAGTAAAATTTTTGTAAATGTTTCACCTGGGCTTAAAAAGAATGCGTAATCTGCAATTGGGGGTGCCTTTCCCAATCAGAGACCCCACCTCAATTCTACCACCTAGCCTCCAGGTATCCAGAAGGTCCAGCATGCCCTTCTCTGCACCACTCTCCTGTCTGTCCGGAAAACTCCTCCCCATTCTTTACCACTTAGCTGAAGTGTCACCTCCATGTCAAGCCTTTTGTGATTTTTCCAGATTGGACTGATCATGAGTTCTTTTCTGGACTTCTGCAATACCACTATCACTGGACCCCTGCTTCCACCCTTCTAGAGCCTATTGCCCATCAACAGCCAGTGTGCTCCTACCAAAACAAGAGACAGATAATGTCCTTCATCAGTCCAAAATCCCCCAATGGCTTCCCACTGACTTGAAGTAACAGGCAAAGCCTTTGCAGTGGTCGACAAGACCCTACCCAATCTGGGCTCTAGCTGCCTCTCCGATCTCATTTCCCACCCCTCTCCACCTTGCTTTGTCTGCTGTAGTCACATCAGCCTCCCTGCTGTTCCCCAAACAGGCAACCTTGGGGCTCTGTGCCGGTTGTTCATCTGAGCTAGAACATTCTTCCCCCAGACTTGTGCAAGGCAGCTTCCCTTCTTTTAGGTCTTTACTGTAGTGTCCCTGTGGTGCAGAAGGCCTTCTGCAGTCAACCTATAATTAAGAGCAACCCCCCCTGCTGCATCCCACCAGCACTCCATGTCCCCTCCCACCCTGTTCTATTTTTCTCCCCAGCAACCACAGCAACCCCCTTTCACACGGTGCATTGACTTGCTTATTGCTTTCTTTTTTGTCTCCCCACCACTGAAAGGTAAGTCCCTTGAGAAGGAGGACTTGCCCTGGTTTGTTCACCACCGCATCTACAGCTTAGAGAAGGCATTCACTGCCAAGTACCTGCTTGTGACTGAGTGGATGGCTATGGACTTGAAGATGAGCCGCTGAAGGAACTGAAGAGTAGGACAGGAGAGCCCTGTGGCTGGGACAAGCCAGGGAAGACAGTGCACAGACCCCTCCCCCCGAGAAGCCCCCCACCAAAAAAATGCAGTGGACTGAATGAGGTGCAGAGAAGCTCATCGGGCCACAGATGGGCTGTTCTCTAGATCTGCATCTCTGGATCGCCACAGGATGCCGGAGGCAAAGCCACCTCACCTGGAACACACACCTCAGAGCTGTCACGCCAAGGAGAAACAGACTTTTTGGTAGATGAGGTCCAGTCACTGTTGGGACACTTCTAAGAGTACCTTTGTACCACGACACAGCCCTGAATGAAGAGACCCTCTCCCTAACTCTCCATCCCCCTTAGTCTCCTCGGTTTTGCTCATGATGCTGTTACTATCTGATAGTATTTACTGTCTAGCTTCTATGTTCTCTTTTCTCTCTTCCGCTCTTAGTATGAAACTCCATAAGCACAGAGACCACGCCTGTCTTGTTCTGTGTCCTGAGGTCCTAATACTGTGCCTGGAGGGTAGCATATGCTCCCTAAGTGGTGTTAAATGAATGATCATGGGGGAGAGGGGTGACGAAAGGAGGAAAAACAGTTTTTAGAAATGAAGAGGGAGATAGAAGTGATGTCGCTTTTTTTTTTCATTTTCATTCTGTTTTATTAGGTATTTATTTTATTTTTTATTATTATGTTCAATTAGCCAACATATAGTACATCATTAGTTTTTGATGTAGTCATGTCACTTTGAATAATAAAAGAGAAGTAACTTGGGGGCGCCAAGGTGGCTCAGTCCATTAAGCCTCTACCTTTGGCTGAGGTCATGATCCCAGGGTCCTGGGATGGAGCCCCAAGTTAGGCTCCCTGCTCTGCAGGGGGACTGCTTCTCCCTTTCCCTGTGCCTGCAGCTCCCCTTGCTTGTGCTCTCTCTCTCTCTCTCTCTCTCTCTGCCAAATAAATAAAATCTTAAAAAACAAAAAAGAGAAGTAACTTTATATTGTATCCCAAGCCAGTGAAGTGGTATTTTTTGCACAGCAATTTTTTTAAGTTAAAAAAAAAAAAAGACACTATTGGGTAAATAGCTGAAGGATGCAGACACCTCCAGCAGGTCTGAAGAAGAAAAGAATTTATTTCCCACCTCAGCTCCACTGTTTTACATGATTGTCCATCACAGTGACTAAATTAGTCTTTGCTAAATTCCCAGCCAGGCGGCCATATTGAATCAGGACGCACCCATCTCCATGTGGGCAGTTGCCAACCTGTGGCATTTTCTCCCTAGCATACAGAAACACTCTTAAGGAGGGCGACTGGGTGGCTCAGTTGGTTAAGGGACTGCCTTCGGCTCAGGTCATGATCCTGGAGTCCCGGGATCGAGTCCCGCATCGGGCTCCCTGCTCGGCGAGGGGCCTGCTTCTCCCTCTGACCCTCCCCGCTCTCATGTTCTCTCTCTCTCTCATTCTCACTCTCAAAATAAATAAATCTTTAAAAAAAAACACACACACACACTTTTAAGGACAAAAAGGAGCCAAAACACCCCGCTCTCTCACTCTCTCCTTTACCCACACGCCCCTCGGATCACCTCCCAGACCGCTCTGGAGACCCCAGCAAGTTAACGGAGACGAAAAAAGACAACTTTCTCTCCAAAACTTTAGTTGAGACTCTCCAGCAGCCTGCACTTAGGATATAGCCCAAGGGGGCCGTGGCTTCAGCCATCCAAGCAAAGCTCCCAATGGTGTGGGGATCTGTCCCACATTAAGGGGCCTAGGAGGCTTAAAATAGGTAAAATCAGAGTCTTGTTTTTGGCAACCACTGGCACCTTCAGTGCTCAGTTAACGGGACCCAACAGTGCACGGGGAGGAAAATACTAGAAAAGTGAACGTGGAAGACCGGCGTCTGAGCTGCCAGCTTCGCAGAGCCTCCCGCGGGCTCCCTCCGGCCCAGATCAGGCCCTGCCATTGGCCCCCACGTGGGTTGGGGGCGCCCCGCGACGACCCCCTCCCCCTGGAAGGCCGCGACCCGCGCGCCAGCCCCGGAGCCCCACTCCCCACCCCCACCCCCAGGCCGGGCTTGAGCGGCTGGCTGCCCAGGAGCCCAAGGCCGCAGCCCGCCCTCCAGGGGACCCTGCTGCCCGCCCTGGCCGCCCCCTGCCGCCGCCTCGAACCTCGCGCTGGCGCTCACGCACCTCGATCCCGTCCCCGGGAGCGTCTCAGGCTCCATGGCTCCGGAGAAGTCGCTGAGGTCCCCGCGGGCAGTGTGGAGAGAAAGCAACGGCGAGCCCGGCGCGGCAGGGGCGGGATCCTTCTGACAAACTGTACTTCCGAGCAGGAAGAAGTTGCTAGGTTGATGGACAAACGGGACGCACACAGGCCGTCGGGTGGGTTGGGGGTGAAGTTAGCACGGGTGCCAGGTTCGCGCGACCGCCGACCCAAGGGCAGGCAAGTGGGGACGGGAGAGCGGAGCCTCCGTCTGGGGCTGCGGCGCCGGGGGTGGGGCCCAAGCCGAGCTTCGGGAGGGTCCGCCGAGAGGATCATTGTGCAGGGGCGCCCCGCCCTCGGGACGGGCGTCGTGACGCCTGCAGAAGCTGAGCCAGGCCAGTACGGGGACGGCGCCCAGCAAGGGGTTCTTCTCCAAGTGATCTCCACCGCCCTGGCTCCGAGACCCCTTCCCAAGACTGCGGAAACCGGGAAGCCGCTCTTTTCTTTCTCCCACCCCCACCTCCAACAATTCCTCACACCCCTCCAGGGGGACCCTCCAGCCCGATCTGGGGAGCGCTCTGCTTCCCAGGCTAAGAGGTTCGTTCTTAGAGCTAGTAAGACATTTGAAATGCTAGAGCTTCCATGCTTTCCAATGGTTTATAAACGAAACCCTTTTTGTGAGTGCTAATAGTTTGGGAAAGCTCCCTGCTGCAGAAGGCAGTCGAACACTGAATAAAAAACTTACTTTATTATGGTTTTTTAAAAAGGCCAACGCAGGCATAACATTACATAAATTTACCATCTTAACTATTTTTAAGTGCACAGTTCAGGAGCCTCAAGTACATTCGTTGTTGTGCAAAGAGCTCCGGAACTTTCCCATCCTGCAGCAATGGAAACTCTGTACCATTAACTCCTAATTCCCCTCCCCTTCCCCCAGCCCCTGGTAAGCACCTCTCTACTTTCTGTTTCTTTCTTTCTTTCTCTTTCTTTCTTTCTTTCTTTCTTTCTTTCTTTCTTTCTTTCTTTCCTTCCTTCTTTCTTTCTTTCAGATTTGATTTATTTATTTGAGAGAGAGAGAGCTTGGTGGAGGGGCAGAGGGAAAGGGAGAAGCAGGCTCCCTGCTGAGCTGGGAGTCCCCCATGAGGCTCCATCCCCCAAGGGGCTCCATCCGAGGACCCTGGGATCACAACCCTAGCCAAAGGCAGATGCTTAACCAGCTGAGCCACAAAGGCACCCCTCTACTTTCTGTTTCTATGACTTTGAGGGCTTTAAATACTTCATATGAGTGGAATCAGACAGTGTTTGCCCTTTTGTGACTAGGCTTATTCACTTAGCATAGGTCGTGTCCTGGAGGTTCATCCTTGTGACAACACTTTTAATGGGAATGAAGAAGCTGATGACCCATGGACTTGAGCTCACACTATCACACCAGGTTTGGTCTTTGAAATGTCTGAGGTGGTGCTGAGACTTCCAGAGAGAGACCCAGAGGAGGCGGGGGGGTGGGGAACTGAGCAGGTTTTGAGGGGCTGCTCTGTCCTAGGGGCGTCCAGAGACCCTCCAGGCCCTCCCCTCTGGGCTGGTCTTCATGTTCCACCTCATTAGGAAGCCAAAGAAAACCTGGAGATACTGGCCCTCCCCACCAAGGACTCGGGTCTACACAGACTACATCTTGGTGAGAAAAGCCTCTCCCAGGGGCACCTGGGTGGCTCAGTCAGTTAAGCGGCTGCCTTCGGCTCAGGTCATGATCCCAGGGTCCTGGGATTGAGCCCTGAGTCAGGCTTCCTGCTCAATGGGGAGTCTGCTTCTCCCTCTGCCTCTCCCCTCCCCTGCTCTTGCTCTCTCTCTCTCACTCAAATAAATAAATAAAATCTTAAAAAAAAAAAAAAAAGGCAGGCTCTACCATTCCTCGCCCAATCTATGCTCCTAGTAAGAAGGACCTGTTCTAGAAACAATCCCCACCTTCTTTGGGGTGCTAGGTCAATTCACATAAAATCAGTTCATTAAAATAATCAGACAAAAAGCCTTCAATCCCACGCTGTGATCCTCCCAGCTGTGCCACTCCCAGAAGTGGAGGTCAGTTGAGGCAGAGAGTCATAGCCTAGTGGAAGATCATTTCCCCAAAATAGAGAAAATAGTAGACTGAGTTCAGGAAAAACTCGCTTCTTCTGAAACATTACGCATTTGGGGGGCATTCTGAGTAAAACCACAACTTCAAGTAATTCCTCATTGACTTAGCAAGCTGATTATCTGCTGAGTTGACCATTTTGCAAAATGATCTTTCAGCACATGGGCTTGTGGAAAATTGAATTCTGTGGGGAAGGCTGGTTGGGCTTGCATCTAGGAAAGGATGGGGGTTTCCTGCCCCCTAGTGGCTTTGTGGCTAATGACAGGGGCAGCAAGACCGTTTCCCCAGCACTTACTCTCCGGGCGGGTGAGGAGGGAGAGGGCTGGCCTTCTAAAAATCATATAAGCCGGGGTGCCTGGGTGGCTCAGCTGGTTAAGCGTCTGCCTTCGGCTCAAGTCATGATCCCAGGGTCATGAGATCGAGCCCCACATCGGGCTCCTGGCTCAGCGGGGAGCCTGCTTCTCCCTCTGCCTCTCTCCCTGCTCATGCTTTCTCTCTCTGTATCTCTGTGTCTCAAATGAATAAATAAAATCTTTTAAAAAAAAAATTAAAAAAAAATAAAAAATCATATAAGCCTGGGAGACACAAACTATACAAACAAGGAGGAGTCTACCAGGCCAGGCACCATATTAGACACAGGGGCTCAAAGAGTCTGCAAGACAAATCTCCGTTGAAGGAGATCAGTCAAATGATGGGAACAGGGACTGAACTATGGTTAAGGAAAAATAGAACATGTACTGTCATAGAGATGTGCTCAGGGCGCCATGGGAGCAAAGAGGAAGCTCCATAAATCCTACAAGATGAGAAACAACCAAGTGGGGAAACAAACAGAAACAAATCCATAAACCATTCATTTTCTGTGGCAGGTACTGTCATGGAGGACGTTATAAGACACGCGGGAGAATCTGCACAGTGGAGCTTCTGCTTATCCTAAGTCGTGAAGGGTATGTAGAAATTTCCCAGCAAAGGACGTTCAGGCAGAGGGAGAATGGCAAACCCCACAGGCTTTCAGGTTCAGCGTGCTGTGAGCAGCACGGGCATGTGGGGAAGTGGGGTCAGGCTGGAGGTAGGAAGACCAGCTAGAGGGTACTGCAACAGTCCAAGCTCGATGCACAATGGAAAAAGGAACAGATTGATGAAATATTTAAAAGATGAAAACAATGAAGTAAATTTTAAAGAGGCTAATTCAGGGTTACCCTCGCAAGTGTTCAGGCTACCACATCAAAGGGAGTGCTGTTCACGTCATAGACAATGCCTTATTTCAAAAAGTTGTGTTATATGTTTAACTTCATCAATGGGAATTGTACGTTTACTACAACTTTGGCAGATGGTAGTGAAGTCTCTTGTAACTGAATTTGTATATTTTGACAGTTTTCTGTTGGAATGAAAAGTCTTATTCAAACAGAGTCTTTGTTTGTTACAGTAATTATTAAGAAATAATATGCTTATTTACAAATGTTTCACTTGAAGAAGAGACACAATTTTCTCATTCACATAATGAGGCTTGTGGTCATCCCAGGCCTATTGGCTGTGGGATGTGGGGCACTTCTAGGGGCCTTCGTGGAGAGAGAGCTGTGGGAGGCCCATGTTTGGGAGGGGTGGAGGGAGAGAGGAGCACTTTAGCTCGGGGACACCGGGTCTCAGACACGGGAGAGAGGGTAAGCAGAGAAGTCCCAAAGGTCATGACTGATTCCTCCTTCCCATGTTATTCATAACAACCCTCCATTGGAAACAACTGAAATTAAGCAGGATAAAAATGTTTTCTTCTGCTCAAAAGCATCCAGGAAGCCATGAAGCAATAAGGAACTACCGGGCCAGAGCATGGAATGGAAATGCACACAGGAATGCTTTCCCTGCGGCATGTGCCACCCCCCTTCCCGGAAAGATGAGAACCTTTGCTTTGCAGCCTCCCTGGGAGGGGGGATCGGAAACCAAAGCCCAGTGGGGCAGAGTCATGCACCCCCGAATCTGAACGCCAGCTCTCTCACCACCTGTGTGAACTGGAGCACGTTCTAACCACTCTGGGTCTCAGTTTGCTCTCCCTCTGCATAATGGAGATACAACTCTTACCTAGCTCCTCAGTTGTCAGGAGCCAGAGGACGCTGTCCCTATGACATTTAACCACTGCCTGACCAGGGGCCGCATGACATTTGGAAATTGATCACTGAATCCATCTCCGCAGCCGAAAAGCTGCCGGAAGCAGGGCTCGGGGATCGAGTGGCCAGTGCAGCTGACTCGGGCCTGCAGGGCCTGAAGGGCAGGGGTGGGTCAGACCCCCACAGCTCAGGACTGAGCTCTGCGGGGCAGAAAATGAGTGTCTGGAGGAAGAGGGTTCCGAGAGGCAAGTCCAGCTTTACCCCGAGACCGTAAGACCCAGGGACCTCCCTCACCTCCAGCATGACGCTCTGCTGGGGAACCAGACGCTGAGCCCTGGGCCTCAGCCCAGGCACTGCCTGAGGCGTCACATCTACTCTGAGAGCCTCACCCAGATCACTGCCAGCATCAGGCCCCTGCCCCAAGCACCCAGGAAATGGGTCCCCTCTGACCGTGAGCCCCATCCTCACTTGCCAAGCCCAGACAGGAAATTTCGGCCCTTTCTTTGCTGTGACTCTCTCCACCACAGCCCTGACCCCAATTTGGGGGTGTAGATCAGTGATTTCATGATTGTTGCTATAACTGTGGACGATCCTGGTGTTCTCTACTGAACATAATTTCTAGGGGAACCAGAAAAGGCCAGAAAGCAAAGAAACTCAGGACACATACACAGCGGGTTCCCAAACCAAGCCCGGCAATTGTCAAATGCCAACATGCACCGTGGTAGAAACCGACGCCTCCCACCCCCTCAGCCATGACCCCATCGTTCAGCCCCAAACCGCCTCACATGGTCTGCGCCGCAGGTGAGCTCACGGGGACTTCATGTCAACAGAGGCAGAGGGGCAGAAAGACAGAGGGACCCCTCGACTCACCTCCAAGTGCAAACTGTCCCCGTTCCCCAAGGACACGTGCCCCTTCCTGCTTCCGAAACCCTTCCTTCCCTCTTCTTCCCTCCCCTCTGTATTTTTGACCAATAGATCTTTCCCTTCTCACATTGCCCATTGTTAAGATGTGACCTGTTAATCAAAATCACTTCTGTTTGTGGCTTTTCTGTACCTGCAGACAAGAAGTGAGAAGATGTGAGAAAAACTCAAGGAAGCAAGTCAGTCCTCACTCG